TTCCTTCAAAATTTTTTACATTTCCTAGTAGCCCAGTACAACTTTCAAAATCTTGCAAACACTATAAATGTGTTGCTTCTAAAAGATTAACACAGAGGCCTAATACAACTATTGCATTCCACTCTGTTTTTGTATTCACAAGGACAAGGTCACTTTTCATTTGTAGCACATGGTTGAGGAAGAATTTCTCGGCCTGAATTATGTCTACCTCATTTGGAAGTTCAGTGTCTTTATGCAGTAGGCGTACATGAAGGCAAGGAACACTGTGAATTAATGCAACCAGAACACCTGCAACTGGTCCCACGAAATTTGAATCATAACTGAAATGGCTCTCAATATACCATCTAATAGATGGTTGTACTGTGGATCCTGGAATTTTGATTGTCTGTTCTACATCGCCATATTGTGATATGATTAATCCAAAGACTGTCCATGCCAAAGGACAGATCCAGTAGTCCCAAATCCACCATTTGGGAATTCTCTGCAAATCATCAACATGGAATGAATTTTTGAGTCAGTATGAGTAACTGAATTATGACTAGAATAGACTTTACTTGTGATTAAAGTTAACTCACCGATTTTGGGATGAAGAAGCCACAGAATAAATTGAACAGTGCATAGAAAGCCTCTCGAAAACAGCATAGAAGCGGGCGTTGACAATGTACCGAGCAATGGCTCTGCTGATGAACTCAGTGCTGGGTTAACCTCGTTGGTTGCTGGTAGCTAAAGACTGAACTTTGTGGTGTTGGTGCGGACGTGCTGTTTGGCTCCCAGAAGTCATAACTTGCTCCCTTTCTCCAAGAAGTTGATTCCTATGATTATGTTTTGGAAAACGGTAATGCAAATTGAAGAAGAAGAAGAAGCTCTTTCTTCTTTTTTTATTTCATTTTTTTTTCTTTTATCAGCAAAGATGAGAATTATTATTAAGGCGATTACAAGTGCTACTTCAACAGTTTTACAGGTAATAATTTTAATTGCATTCTTATAATTCTTTAGCCGACAAATAGAGAAAGATTTAGATTGATTTAGGTCAAGGATTCTATGTTTATCCCACCGCATATTCTTGAAAATAATTCCGTTCCTGGAATTCCAAATAGTCCAAGCAACCACAAGAATTGTAAATAACCTTCCTGACCTTGCCTCGTTATAGACTGAGAAGAAGATGCTACTCCGAAGTAAATTTGGAGAATTGGGTTTAATTCCTCCTATTAACACCCTTAATCTTGAAATTAAAAGGCAATTGCGGGAATTGGGTTTTAGGCTTTGAGAGTCATCACATTTGAGTAGTAAAAATCCCTCCAAGAATTGCCATGTGAGCAGCGCCGGTCACCGTGAGGGAGAAAATTTGACTCACTCAGCGTCATATCATTTATGGAATCAATCGAAATTGATTCTTTATTTTTTTAAAATGAAAATAATTAAGAAATAATTTTTTACACACAATTTTTTTATATAATTTTATATATTATTTAATAATTAATTTTTTATAATATCATATATATTTACTTATATAATAATATATGTAAATTGTAAATAAAATTTATATGGATAGGTTGCCCGTGTATTATTACATTTTTTTTACCAAAAAATTGGCTTTCCATTAAAGATACCATGATTGCTGACGTCAGGTGTTCAAGAAGGGTTAATTTGCAATAATTTTTTTCTAGTATGAGGGTTTAAAACCATCTCTTTTAAGTACAGGAGTTGCTTTCAAACCATATATTGGGTATAGAGTTTTTTTTTTTCTTTTTTCTTTTTTCTTCTTCTTCTTTTTTTTTTTTTCGCCATCATATGTTGAGTATAGAGTTGATTTGCCATTTCGTGTATCTGCCCGCTTAACATATCTCTAAATTGTTATGTTAAGCAGGCATGTTAGTAAAATGCTTGTGACCAAAAACGCAAAACCTTTTTGTTGACTACAACAATATGCTTGTTAGGAATGGTCTGAAAACAGATCTAAGCCTCTTTTGATCTAAAAGGCCTGCATATAGATGGTGGGTGTTGTATTTGTGGAGGAGTGGAAACATGCAGCCACTTAAATTTTGAATGCCCTCATGCCAATCTTTGAAACACAACTCAGTGACTAACTTATTTTCAGCACTAGATTTGGTTCAATTAGTTTGATAAGTTGTTTTGATTGTCAAATAAAAAGTTGAATTTTTCAACATTTTTTGTATATTTTATTATTATATACTGATATTACCTTATATAAATTAAAGGTTAAAATATAAGTTTGGTCACTCAACTTTTAGATTTATGAAAAAATTATCCTTCAATTTCAAAAAGAACCAAAATTGTCCCTAAAGTTTAATTTTGGATGCCAAAATAGTCCTTAAACTTTGAAAACAATTACTAATTTAGTTCTTGAATGTTGAAAACAAGTATTAATTTAGTCCTTCAACTTTAATTACAAATGCCAATTTGGTTTTTTAACTTTAATTTCATATCAATATAATGTGTAAATAGAAATCTACCATAATGATGAAATATGATTGTTTGATTTTACATGTCATTAGTATATTAAAAAAATTGATTTTGTAACAAAATAACCAATCATGTGATATTTTTGTT